CTCCGCCGGTCAAGGTCACCCGGGTTCTCCACGGCCAAGGTCACCGGGGTTCTCCACTGGCCAAGGTCACCCGGGTTCTCCACCGGCCAAGGTCACCCGGGTTCTCCACCGGCCAAGGTCACCCTGGTTCTCCACCGGCCAAGGTCACCCGGGTCCTCCAACGGCCAAGCCACCCAGGTTCTCCATCGATCAAGATCCAGGCATTCTCCATCGTTCAAGGTCACGTGGCATCGAAAACCGCACGACTTATGGACGGTGATGACAGATCCGGGAAAAGGGGGAGGAAAGGCAGTGCCAAAGGTCTGTGCAAGAGCGAAACCATCCCCTGTTCATGAGTTACAAGTCGCCACAATGGCACAGCGCCGCTGGCCCGCGTCCGCTTCCAGAACTGAATCCAGGGAGCTGGAGAAACGGCTCGTTCAGCGATCAGCGGGATACGGTGACGAGCGTTACTGCTGAAGATCGGCTCCAGGGATTCAAAAGTCACGCGCAGACGACAAAAACCACCAGGGCGAAGGTAAAAATAACCGAATGGTGTCTCGCTCGCAAACCGACAAGTGTTGCGACAAGTGTTTTTTATTCTCTTTCCCATGTTCAGATTTCGTTCTTCCATATGACACGGCAGCCCCGGGCGTTGATTTCCCTGAGGAGCAATTCGGAGCACGGCGCATGACAAACATTTCCAGGGAGGCGCGTATCGTCTGCCACCGCGGCTGGCGGCCGTGCCTAGCCTCCGGATCCGCTGGTGAGTAGGTCGCACCACCCACCCTCAGCTGATGGATGTGGTGCAACAGGCCCTCATCCGGCAGGCAGACGGGCGCCACGTGCGGGTACTCTGTGTCGTCCAGGTCCGGCGTGATCCGCAGCATGGCCAGCCGGCCCTGCTCCCGCAGCGGCCCCACGGGCCGTGCCATACGCGCCCTGCGCACGCACGCGCACAGTCAAGCGGACCCAGCCGGAAGAGAGCTCGCCACCTCGTGAAACGTAGCTATTGCTAGCGTCAGGCCATGCGGCCAGGCTGACCGCCTTAAACGTTCGGCTGAACTGGTTACAAACACAAAAGGTTAGGAAATCCAGCACATTGCTTCGAGACAATCAACCACATCATTACATTATCCAATGTTTTCGGGGAGCCAGCAGGCAGCTAATCAAAGATCAGGAGACGGTGTGGACCATTAGGTCCATCAGTTACTTTCATATCACCACGTGAGCGGTGCGAGAGAGTACACGTGCTGGCGGAGCGGAACGCGGACCAGACGAGCCGGGCGCCCACCTGGCGACGTCTGCACGCGCTCGACGTCCAGCGCCACGGGCGGCAGGTTGACCGGCTGCGTCTCGTCCAGGTTCCAATCGCCGACGGTGACCTTGAGGTCCTCCGCGTCGACGCCGGCCACGCAGTCTGCTGAGGTGAGCACCCACGCGGCGTGCACGAGCGCGCCGCTGCAGGTGAACTCGTGGTCCTCCTTCACCGTGCGCGTCCACACCGCCGCCTGCCGGCCGTCGCCAGAGCGCCAGTCAGGCGAGGCGAGGCGAAGCGAGAGGGTTGAGGTCGAGGGGTAGAGGTCGGGTACGGCGGAACGGTGGGCCGGGACAGCTGGACGGGGTGGCGATCGCTGCCGACTGCCATATCTGACAGGGGAATGCCCCAAAAACCGTTGCGAGCTCGAGTGCAGACTGCTGATCAGTGCGCTATCAAAACCGTTTGCGCGAGGGAGCCTCACGACGCGTAAACAGATTCAAATGATACAATCCGGCATATCACGCTATGGTTTAAAATCATCGACAAGAGACTCTTGTTCCCCCTCCCTAACCGAACGACCGCAGACCGGTGTCGCACGCAAACACCCATGTCAAAACTCGGAAACCACTCAGGACACACCGGTGTCGAATCGCGCCAGCGGCACGTCTCCATCACACAGCGCGGTCACACAGCGTCGCACCTGCCAGGGGAACTCCCCGAACTGAGCGGCGCCGCGCCTGCCGTCGTCATGCGGCCCCAGCGGCGGCAGCAGCGGCGGCGGCAGCGGGCGCGGCGGCGGCCGCGGCAGGAACGGGTTGGCCGCCTTGCCGAGCACGCCGCGCCTCTGACGCCCGCCGCAGCGCGGCGCCACCGGCTCCTGCCGCAGGCTGTGTCGCACGCGCCGACCGGATGGCAGATGAAGTCGCGCTCGGCGTCGCAGCTTCCGGTCGCCCAGACGCCGGGCGACAAGGAGGCGCTCTTCGGCAGGACGAAGAAGGCGCAGGCGTTCCGGCGCGTGGCGTCCTCGCGTGACGCGAAGTTCCGGTAGCTGCCGGGCGTCAGCAGGCTGCCTGGCGGGCGGCGAACACGGCGCGCGTGACAAGGGAGCGCCGTCGCGGCACCGGTCAAGGGGGCGTCCGCTGGACGGTCAGGGCGTCCGCTGGACGGTCAAGGGGGCGTCCGCTGGACGGTCAGGGCGTCCGCTGGACGGTCAGGGCGTCCGCTGGACGGTCAGGGCGTCCGCTGGACGGTCAGGGCGTCCGCTGGACGGTCAGGGCGTCCGCTGGACGGTCAGGGCGTCCGCTGGACGGTCAGGGCGTCCGCTGGACGGTCAGGGCGTCCGCTGGACGGTCAGGGCGTCCGCTGGACGGTCAGGGCGTCCGCTGGACGGTCAGGGCGTCCGCTGGACGGTCAGGGCGTCCGCTGGACGGTCGGGGCGTCCGCTGGACGGTCGGGGCGTCTGCTGGCGGGTCGGGGCGTTTGCTGGCGGGTCGGGGCGTCTGCTGGCGGGTCGGGGCGCCTGCTGGCGGGTCGGGGCGCCTGCTGGCGGGTCGGGGCGTCTGCCGGCGGGTCAGTGCGGGTGAACAACGGCGGGTCGTGTGCACAGTCCCGCGACGAGATCGGACGTTTCGATGTGGATCGCCATAATGTGGCAAGTTGAACGGACCATATCAACGCACTACACGCGTCTGCCCCACATACAGACATTCAAAACCCAGACCACTAAGTGACAGCAGAGTTATAGTCCAAAGTCTTCAAGTCTTAGATTGAACACATGAACGGCATTTACAAGCGGATTTGGGTTATCGTACATCTGCAGTTTCATCTGGTTTACCCAACATGCGGACTCCCGTTCATGCCTCATGATCACGCTCGTTGGTCTTGCCAAAAACGTCACGTCGCGTCACGCTTCGTCTTACCGTTAACAAAGCGGAACGTTCCGCTGCCATCTGAACTCAAACCAATGTAGTACTTGCTAGCCCCGAGGACCTCGAAACCCTTCAGCATATCCACTATGTCTTGATTCATCTGTAACACGGACAATACGTGAGGCACGTCGTACATGTCTTATCTACATCTCAATGTCTTGTGACCTCAGACCCCCGTGACCTCAGACCCCGTGACCTCAGACCCATGACCTCAGGTCCGTGACCTCAGACCCATGACCTCAGACCCATGATCTCAGACCCATGACCTCAGGCCTGTGACCTCAGGCCTGTGACCTCAGGCCTGTGACCTCAGGCCTGTGACCTCAGGCCTGTGACCTCAGGCCTGTGACCTCAGGCCTGTGACCTCAGGCCTGTGACCTCAGGCCTGTGACCTCAGGCCTGTGACTCCAGGCCTCACTCAGCGCACCCGTTTGGAGTCGACGGTCAGCAGGTCACCGCCGTCTTGCTGACAGCTAGCCCGGGCGCCAGCCCAGCTGCGCTGCTCGACCGCGCCGCCCTCTGTCGGCCGCACCAGGCCGTCGCCCAGCGGGAAGTAGCCCTCGCGGATCCTCTGCTCGCACCGCGTGCCCAGCTCGTCCACATAGCACGGCTCTGCCGGGACGGCGGCGCATGAGAGGCCGTTCCCGGCGCCCATGACGGTCACGGCGCGCAGCGGGCGGCGGCTAGTCTTGGATACTGCTGAACATTGTGACATCTGGTGTTTAGCTGAAAGCCTGCCCTCTCGTGGGTCGATGGCTGTGTGGGAGCCATCACAGCCTTGCGCGATGCGTCACGCTCTAACCAGCAGCAGGTTAGGACAGGACAGTGGAGTGCCAGCAGGACAGTGGAGTGCTGGACACTGGACACACAACACAGCGCTCCATCCGAAATGAGAGGCCATCCACGGGAGTCTAGTCCCTGCTGTCCCTGCTCCTCAGAGCACGGACAGCGGGGACCAGGGCCAGCGAGGCCTTCACACCCCAATGGTGGGGGCATACAGAACAGTTCACGACATGCGGGCAGCGCTCGCCGGCACCGTGAAGCGGGAGACAAGCGGGACGGCCTGCCGTACCTGGGTAGTGGTTGGCATCCACAGCACAGCACAGCCTGGTTCTTCTGCTTTCATACAGCGGGCAACGCTGGCGCTACCTGCGCAGAAGGAGCGGCGCCATGGCGGTCGCATACGCAAGCGGAGGCACAGACGTACTGATCTCGCTCGACGCAACACTGATGCGGCTGGTCAGACTCCACAAACGCTGCCCCCTCTAGCGTCATATTTGTAACACATGCATGGTGAAAAGCGAAGGCCGGTTCCAAAATGAACATTTGGTTGGATTATACGGCCCTGTCGTCTGCACCTCCCCCATACGTTATCCTACAGCCCACTCCCTCATCTCGGTCGGTCCGAGCGCTTGTCTTCCAAACTACCCGTGGCGCTTTGGGTGGATGTGGAGTCGTTCGGTACTCGCTATTTGTCCCCGGCTCGGATGGCACGCGGCCGGTGGCAGCGGCCGCATCACCACGGTCAGGAGGCGAGGCCAGAAGACCGCTTGGGCCATGATAAGCATTGCGGCACGTTAAAGAATCTCGCGACCAGATGGGGCAGTCAGGGTTCACACGTCAAACGCTGCTTGGCGAGATCTGACCCCAGAAATCCATCCCATCAAAATGTTCAAGTCAATTCGAGTCGTTCAAGTTATAAACGTCTAATGGAGTGAAGAGAGACTTCGCCAAAATCAATTGCACGCTAATCAGATGACACCAGCCCAGCGGAAAATCCCAACCCTGGCAATAGTGCGTGTGCGTGGGCGGGGGGGGGGGGCGGAGCGAGGGGAGTAGAAGAGCACAGCACTTCCCAATATGCGTTGCGCCAGGCGAGATACCTCCTAGGTCAAAATAAATGCACTTCGGGACACTTGTATGCGGACCGTTAGAGGTAGGCCTAACTGACCCGTCTCGCAGACGTAGAAGGCCGTGGACTCGCAGCTGGCGCTCTCCAGCTGAGACAGCGAGTCGGTCCGAGACGTCGCCTTAAGGCATTGCTTCGACTTGGAGCCTGCCGAAGTGTTTGGGAGTAAATGGGACCGCGCATCGCCAATGCCTTCATCAGCCAGCGTTGGCGCTTCGTCACCGACTATAAACATCGATTACGCACGACTTGTTTGTACTCTTACACGGATGTATTGAACCTGCACTAAACTCGTATTCGTGCGGACATTTGTGTATTGCCGACCCATGATTTGGCGACGGTTTTGGACACGTAGGAGTAAAACTAACTCAGGATTGGAGGACTGCTGCAAGCAGGTGAGAGAAAGTACGTGGGATCTGCCACATAGTGAGTTTTAACAGCAGAAAAGAAGGATGCAGTGTGGAAAGTGTGTCAACACGAATACAGATTTCAGTCGTACACAACTGGACGTCAGCATTCGTGCTGCGATAGTATCCTCGTTCCTGCCTTACCATACCAGCTTTTAGCAGCACCTCCCATCCGCGGAAAATGAACGCGACGCAGAATGTCAAATCGGAGTGGGGTAGGGAATACTCGCCTTAAAGGAGCAAGTAAGGCGTGAGCTATGGAGCGGGGCAGCTACATACATTGCTGAACTGCATGCGATAACGACAAAGCCCGACGATACAACGCCAAATCCCCCGCCCAGTCAATCGACAGTCAATCGACAGTCAGTCAACAGTCAGTCAACAGTCAGTCAACAGTCAGTCAACAGTCAGTCAACAGTCAGTCAACAGTCAGTCAACAGTCAGTCAACAGTCAGTCAATCAACAGTCAATCAACAGTCAATCAACAGTCAACCAACAGTCAATCAACAGTCAATCAACAGTCAGTCAACAGTCAGTCAACAGTCAGTCAACAGTCAGTCAACAGTCAGTCAACAGTCAGCTGACCGGCGACGGCAATCACCGTCTGTAGGCGGCTGGAGGCCAAGCGTCTCGAAGTCGATCGGTTCGCCGGTGGTGGCCCAAAGCCAGAGGGCGCGGCCGTCGTCCCAGAGGGCCGTCCGTCCAGTGCGGCCCGAAGCGGGAGAGCACGGCCAGCTCCTCGGAGCTCTCCAGCACGGGCGGGTGGGCGCTGAGCGCGGCGCACTCGGCCACCGCCTCGTGCCGCGTCACAGGCAGCTCGGGCGACACCAGGTAACAGCTGGTCAGGTCCAGGGAAGTCCCAGCCGGGCCGGCACTGGCCTGCCGGGCGGACGGGCGCCGGTCACAGCCGAGGTCAGCACGGAGGTAGCGTGTCAAGCACGGGACGGTAGTCTGAGCCGTGGTCAACACGATGGGGGGGAGGGGGGTCTAGCGAGGGACGGAGCCGCGTTCGGAGCGAGGTCAACATGGGGGGGAGCAGCAGCAAGGCGTCCGTGTCTGGCGAGGGACGGTGGTCAGAGCCGCGTTCAGAGCGAGGGCAACATGGGTGGAGCAGCAGCAAGGCGTCCGTATGTGGCGGCAATGTTGCGTGCTGGCCGTGAACATCAGAACATAAGAGGTGATCGGGGCAATATCTAGCGTGTTCCTAGATGAGCTGAATGACATATTAAAATATATCATATCAAAACATATCCAAGTGGTTGCATACAAAAATCCAGCAAAGCCTTGAGTTTGTATCAAACGTATACACTATTGTTGCTCATAGGACGGCAGCAGAGCAGAGCAGAGCCCACCAGCTCCCTGGCCACACCATTCCCGCAAACGCTCACCCATCGTGTGAACGGCTCGACAGTGGAGGGGGTCGAGTGGGGTGGGGTGGGGTGCGGGGCGGGGCGGGGGTGTACTCACGGAACAGTCCTCGGGGTGCACGCACTTGGTGTCCGGCGGACACACCCCACCGTGGAACTGCTTCTGAGGCCGCGGCAGGTGCACCGGCGGCAGCGGCGGCAGCGGCGGCAGCGGCGGGAAGGGCGGCGGTGGCGGCACGAGCCCCACCGCTCCGGCCGCGCCCAGCGCCGCCACCAGCAGCCAGACTGGAACGGGCGCCCCCACCCGCCCGGCGTCACGGGGATGCGGGATGAGGGGTCGATGGCTACAGACTGCCGTGTCCGCACCGCGGGTAATGGCATACGGGTTCGTTGATCGTACACGTCTTCATGACTATCCATCGCAAGCTTTCCAGAGCTACCGCAGCTTCAGACAGACGCGATGCACCCCCGGCGGTGGAATCTCACGGTATGGGGCGGCGGGTATGCCAGCGCAAATTACTCCTTGGCCTACCGTGTATGATAATCAAGCTCACTTCGCCCGTCGCACGCCATTTACATTACGATAAGATGCTAACGCACAGCTCTGCATGGCGATTAAAACAAATGTATGGATGCAAGCCTTCAAGAAAAAGTCCAAGCATGATCAAAAGCAAATAACAAACATTCACAGACGCCATCACAATCTTACGGCGTATCATAGCGGCGCTCCGCTGAGCGAGTCCGTCCGCACCGGCGCTGCAGCACCTCCACTGGCACGGGTCGCGACCCCCAGACTGACCGCGGCCGGCGCCGAGGTCACAAGGTCACCGCCACCGCCCGGGGCGACCGCCGCGGGCCATCGAGCGGCGGCGCCCCCGAACGGCGGACGCTGAAAACTGCAGACGATTGCCCAACGAGCTGCATTGAGGTGGGAATAAAGACAGTGAGTAAATGTTTGCACTCTTCTTGAATGGTTCAAGCTCATCCAACTTCGAGCCGTTCCGTCAGGAAAACGGATATTGACAGGACATCATGAGCTATGCATTTTCGAGCCATGGACTTTCCCGGCATGAGTGTTTATGCAGCAAAATCGCTCTCGCTTCATCGTTGATTTCTTTCATTGGCGCGTCCACCAACGGAACGAAGCGTGTCGTTTCTTCCACTGGTCACGGCAGGCGCTACGTGGACACGTGTCGTGTCTGTGAGACCGCACGTACTCAACGTTAGTCGCCAGGAGCGACAAAAACATCGCAGAACTGCCCTAAAATGACGTTCCCGCTTTGGCTACACGGCCTTTGTCTACCGCGCTCTCGGTGCACGCATATATGAACTGCAAGACAGCTGGTTTCTTTGCACTGACGCGTCACGGGTTTTATGTGCATAAGCAATTGGCGCCAGTGGTACGGTGCACCTCTGGATTAACTCAGGACGCGCCGAAGCTTCGATTGCGAGTCAGCAAGACAGAAAGTCAGAAAATGCAGCTATTTTTCATTTCAAATGTGGCACCTTGGATAAAACATCGCCTGCTACAGCTGCGAGAAAAGTTGGTCAACATAGATGGCTACCGAGTGAACGATATGGTACCAGACACCAAGCTGAAGAAAACGTTCCACTGTACATATATTTAAGAAGCAAAATTAAATAAATCTACAACATTAACCATTGATGAACAAAATAAACATCGCCACCATGCAATGCAGTTAACAGTTGTGAACGCAAGGTTCCCGACAGTAACGATACAACTGAACTCCACGTGGTATAGGCGAAATGCCCCATATCTCACGATGACCCAGATCACCACAGGAGCCCACAACAAGCTCATCAACGAATCAGGGCGTCCTCAACCGACAGACAGCTGATAATCGGTACAGGCATTTAGGTGTAAGTGCGACAGTAACAGTGGACAAATCGCAGCACGCATACGTGAAATATGTATCACACAGGTATTTACACCGCAAGCGGTAGCTCCGCTCGCTGGACATGCCGAAACCCAGACATCTTTGCATCTCCATGTACAGATACGCGCCCAGGGATAAGGCAGGTCAGACGACTCGCACTCTCCACGCGGCAAACGTCATCACAGTGCGCACGAAACGGAAGGCATGTGCAGACCCGCACATGTACACACAGTAGAACTAAGACGGGCCGCTGCCCACCCGTGGGGCCCGACAAGACCGCCCGCCGGCCCGCATCACACTCCGCCAAGTCCAGAGTCCAGCCGCAACCGCCACCGCCGCGCCGACGTCGGCCACGCCGCCGCGCCCGGACGGCCCGCCGGCTCGCCGCGACGGCGCCGTCTCCAGCGCCGCCGGCGGGGGAGACGACGGGAAGACCCAGCGCGGGCCGAGACCCGCCCCCGCCCTGAACTGCCTGATCACGCCCCTGCTCGCCCGGGAGGCCGCGGCCGCGCCGGGTCACGAGCGCACCCGAGTCCCGACCCGGCTGGCGTCCGCCACAGCCGGACACGCCGGACACAGCCGGACACGCCGGACACGCCGGACACGCCGCCGCGCCACCGCCCAGCGGACCCGGCGGCGCTACTGCATCTTGCTGATCTCGAACTTGGCCTGCATCACCTCCTCGTCCGAGTCGACGACGGGCAGCGCCGTCTCGGACAGCGAGGCCGGGATGTTGTCCTCCACCCACCTGCCGGGGCCGGGCGGGGTCAGGCGAGCGCCACGGCGCCGGTACGTCACGCCGGCTCACGACACCGCGACGCACCCTCCACAGCGCGGCGGCTCCTCCAGCTCTGACTCGCCGGGAGAGGAGGAGGGATCAGCAGTCGGCCTGGCATCAGCCGGCCCGCCACCTGGTCATTCTCCTCCGCCGCTACCGCCGGCAGCAGTCGGAGCACAGGGTAGACTTTCCTCCGCCGCTACCGCCGGCAGCAGTCGGAGCACAGGGCAGACTCTCCTCCGCCGCTACCGCCGGCAGCAGTCGGAGCACAGGGCAGACTCTCCTCCGCCGCTACCGCCAGCAGCAGTCGGAGCACAGGCCAGACGGACGCGACATCTGACTACGCGCCCCGTCCCTTCCAAGCATGCTCACGCTATCACCAGCAGAGTGTGTGTGTGGGGGGGGGGGGGGGGGGAGCTCGGCCAGTCACCTCTGCGTCACAGTGCGACAAGAGCACAGGACCGCGCTGGGGAAGCATCACGAACACCGCGGCCTTCCCTGCACATCCCTGCCAGGGACGAATGCTCTCCCTCCCCAGCCGGTGGTGCACCGAACCAGACGGTGTGGGACTGACAGCCCGCACGGGAAGGCTCCGGACGGTGAGGCCACAGTCGTGACTCGGCACTGAGTCATAAGACTCGGTGCCAGCTGCCAGCCAGCAGAGCCGCCCTTCCCGTTCATGGTCATGACGGACAGCGGTATGCAATGGGGCTTGAGGGCCCTCCTCATTTGGGCGGTAAACAAATATTACAAAGTGGCCAGCAATGGGTCATTCCTGCTTCTTGTCTTACTAATATCAACAAGCATGAAAATTTCTGGTCAACATCTACAAAATCCAGGAAGCAAAGAGCGCTTCAAGAAAACTATTTTCATACCTCCTGACGCTGAAGTATTCTTTGTCACAGGAATACATAGCAGGAGGCATGCACTTAAGGCAGGAGGCGTGAGGCAATAACCTAGCCTAACCTCTCACATGACTGTTTCTTTGTAACTGACCTCGCGGTTGGATCGGTCCCAAAACAAAAATACTGACGCGTTTTTGCGCGTGTGCGTGCGCGTGCGAGAACATTTGCGCGTCCGTCAGTGAGCATTTTAGAACGTGCGCGCGCGCGTCCCTGCATCTGAAGGACGCCATCCGACTGCCCTGGTGCACTTTTTTAAGTGGCGACACTTCCAGGTCCCGCCATGTCCATACAGCTTGCTTGAAGCCCTCGGCAAGAGGGTCCTCACATCAGGCCATGAATAAAACCCAAAATGTTCAGCAGAAATGCGTATCAGATATTGAGGAAACAGAGCGCTGCTGGCGATGAGCTGGTGATGAGTACCCATTATCCAAATTTCTTGCCGCCATCTCTCATAAGAAACGTTCCAAGACCATTGCATGAAAAGCAAAATCCACTTGTCCGCTTGCAGAAAGCTGCGGCTGCAGCCATCTCATTGCCACCACCAAAGGAGAGGTGCGCCAGGTAGGAGGCGGCTTTGTGACTGCTCGGCCACCCGTCAGATTTAGCCGGACTCAACTCCACGCCCGACAAGAGCTGCTTCAAAACGGCTTTGGTTTTGCAAGGTGCGCTAGCAAATATAATGAGAGCGTGCAACCCATACCCGCGAAGGTATACGTGTATACGTCGTACAGCTTCGCGTACTGCACTACTGTTTATCGCGGTGCATCTGCGAAGACGTTCGCGGAACGTGTCCATCGCACACCTCCCCAAACGTGCTGCGGGCTCTCTGTATAACCGCCACCACACCTTTGAAAAGGAAACCTGCTAAGAAGCGCTTCTTGTTGGGTGGGCAGTTTGAGCCCCAGTTAGATTTGTGGGTGGTCGTGAAGCCACAGCTCCCTTTCCGACCTGGGTGCACAGCATACTCCCGGCTGGACCAGAACTGTTGCAACTGCAGCCAGCTGCAAGCGAACAACAAGCGAATTCGCCAGAACGCGTTACATGCGTTCATGCATTGGAATCGTTGCTACCAAGGATCGGCGACAAGGAAATTCTGACACCATATGCTCGTCAACAACTGACCGTCACCGACTTTCTGTCCCTTTCGTTAATCAAAACGCAGTTCCCGGAGCATAGGTTTCCCCCGGCTTGACGGGCCTTTCATCGCATTGGCGTGCATTGTGGGAGATCTGCTACCATGGATCAGCGAAGGCGTTGCCTGCTTGCTGGGGCTCAAGAGCATGGGATGGGTGGATATAAAGAGAAAATGGCATAATGACGGGTATGCTGAAAACGCGGATGTAAAAAACATACCTGATCGTCCCACATAGCTTTCCTTAATACATTTACAAGCAATCTATCCACGAAATGCTACCCTGCCACAGCAGTCAGACACGTGGGACACAATTACTATCGTCATCGTTACGTTGTCCCCACCACAGGACAACACAGGCAGGGGGCGGCACCAGCTGCGGGCCGGCACGCCTGCCCCGCTGCGGCCCGGCCCGCCTGGCCGGCAGCACCGACTCACTTGAGGTCCTCGTCCGAGTCGTTGCGCGAGCGGCGCGAGTTGGCGCGCGAGCCGCTGGGCGAGCTCTGGCCGCGCGAGCGCAGCTTCAGGTCGTGGTAGGCGTCCGAGCGGAACAGCTCGTCCTCTTCGTCCTCGTCGCCGGCGTCCAGCAGCGGTGTGAACGCGTACCTGACACCGGAGAGAGGTCAGACAGGGGTGCGGCAGCTGGACGGGGGGGGGGGGGGGGGGGTCAGATAAGGACACCACGGAGGAAGGTCAGGCAGGGGTGCGGCGGCGGGACTGAGGACGGGGGGGGGTCAGATAAGGACACCACGGAGGAAGGCCAGACAGGGGTGCGGCGGCGGGACTGGGGGGGGGGGGGTCAGGTAAGGACACGCCGGAGGAAGGTCAGACAGGGGTGCGGCGGCGGGACTGAGGGGGGGGGGGTCAGGTAAGGACACGCCGGAGGAAGGTCAGACAGGGGTGCGGCGGCGGGACGGGGGGGGGGGGGGGTCAGATAAGGACACCACGGAGGAAAGTCAGACAGGGGTGCGGCGGAGGGACTGAGAGCGGGGGGTCAGGTAAGAACACGACGGAGGAAGGTCAGATGGGCGTGAGGCGACGGCGGGATCGAGGGGGCCAGGATACCAGCGCAGCAGCAGATGGAGGGGTATGTCGGACTAGGCGCGGGGAGGCGTCAAGGGTTGCAGCAGCGGAAGCAGAGTTCACAACGGGCGGGAGGGACAGATTACAAGGGGAGCGCACGGGCGGGAAGAACGATCTCGGGTCAGCGGGGAGGACAGGTTATAACGGGGGCGTGCGGGCAGGAGGAACGGTCTCGTGTCGGCGGGGAGGACAGGTTATAACAGGGGCGCACGGGCGGGAGGAACGGTCTCGGGTCGGCGGGGAGGACATGTTATAACAGGGGCGCACGGGCGGGAGGAACGGTCTCGGGTCGGCGGGGAGGATAGGTTATAACTGAGACACGCAGGCGGGAGGAACGGTCTCGGGTCGGCGGGGAGGACAGGTTACAACAGGGGCGCACGGGCGGGAGGAACGGTCTCGTGTCGGCGGGGAGGACAGGTTATAACAGGAGCGCACGGGCGGGAGGAACGGTCTCGGGTCGGCGGTACGACAGCAGGAGGGAGGACTGTCGTCACCATAGCTGCGCAATGGTGACGTGGAGACATCGCTGGGAAGAAAAGGGAGAAAGGGAGGGGGAGCGAAAGGGGGGGGGGGGGGTGAACCTACGAATATCATATTTCCATGTTCGGCAATAGGTTACTAAAGGCTGAAAATATCAAAAGCCAGCTTTGATCGGTTAAACCACACCAACGCTAACCATGTACTAAGGACAGACAAGCCGTGTTGTTGCTGAATCTACACCAGCTGTTCGAGGATAGACCCCTTCTGGGTTGCGGCATGCGGCAGTACACACAAATAACAATCTAAGCGACAGTTTGATGGCAGCCGCGGACCCCCGCGTCGAAGTGCAGGCGCCGACGCACCTCTGGTTGTTGTTTGTTGGTCTCCAGAGCAGCATGATGACCAGCAGGATCATGGAGAAGAGGATTGTGCCAGCACGCCTCGTCCGCCCACAGGTTCTTCCACTGGCGCAGGCAGCCGACAGTCCGGTGGAACTTGACCGACCACACCATGAAGCCGACCGAGGCCAGCACGGACAGCATCAGCGTGTTGGTGAAGTGACGGTACAGCGTCAGCTTCACCTCGTTCCTGCGCAGGGGAAGCCAGCGGTGTGCGGACTGTGACGCAAAAGTGCTACGTGCAGCAGTGACACAGCAAAAGACGCAAAGCGTTATGTTACACGAAGCAGCTGCGAACTCAATCAAGCGTATAACAGCGGCCTTTTGCGACAGGTGCTCTGGTGTCGGGGGCTAATACCCTCCGCAAAGGCCCAGCCGAGCCTGGGTCACGACCTCCCGCCAAAACCGAGACCGAGTCCATCCGGAGCCCCGGCGTCCTCGAGCCCCCCCCCCCCCCCTCCCCCTCATCACCGTCAGCGGCGGCGCGCGCCGAGCCTGCTCACCTGCGGAGTCGGAGGGTGCGCGTTGTGCTGAGCAGCGCCGAGAACACCCACCAGCAGATGCCGGAAGTCGAGCAGCGCCAGCACCACCGAGGTGCCCAGCGTGCCGCCCGACATGTCGTTCTTGGGCCGCAGCGCGCGCGTGCAGCTCTCAATCGAGGCGAACATGAAGAAGATGAAGCCGACGGCCATGACGCGGTGCAGCAGCGGGCCGAGGCGCGGCCTACAGGGGGGCAGGGCGTCAGCAGACCGGCCGCGCCGCCACACTGCCACCCAGCGGCGTTGCAGTCGCGGGCGGCAAACACGGTGTGCGCCACAACATTGGAGGTAGCAGAGTGCGTGGAAATTCGCACAGTTTTTCAATGCAACAGCCGCCCTCAGGGAAGCCCTGGCACGTTCAGGCAACCCCTATGCCCATCCACACTACAATGCTACCTTGCCGCGGAACGAATCCTACTCATGTGATGCCAAGGATTTGCCAAATGCCGAATATAAGATCAGGGTCAGGTTATTTCTGTCAGCCCACAGGGAGACGCGTCGCGACAGCCCGCTGCCGCTCCGCCCTCACTTGGTGATGCCGAAGCCGAGCGAGACGATGATGACGAGCATACGCGCGAGAGCTCGCTTGGCGCACGAGACGATCTCGGCGAACACCACAGCGCCCCACACGCTGCGCCCGGTCCTGTTGACCGACTCGTACTCGGCCAGGAACACCGCCTGCGGGCACAGCGGCGCCAGGTCACGGCCGGGCTAACCGCAGTCGCCGGCGCGCCGCTGGCCGTCATGTCAGTGGCGAAACGGCAAACACGCGCGACAAGAACATGTGAGTCAACATGTAAGTCGCCGCGTGTGCGTGCATTCTGACATACAACCAACTTCTGAATGAGAAATAACCATGCGAGTGAGACAATGCCAGGAATAACTACACAAGCTAAGCTTCAAACCCTTTCATAATTTGTTGGACAACCAGCTTGATAAAACAAAACTACACCCGCACTATGACAAACAACCAGCTCGAAATACACGTCACACAAATACCTATAGCGATAACATGACAATCATCCGCGGCTCTGTCTTGAGGCAGCGCTGTTTCAGTGTGAAAGTCGCGCGGCAACGGGCGACCACGGTGCCGGCAGCTGGGTTATCACCTTCTCCAGCATGCCGATGGCGATGACGCCGCCGATCCAGAACTGGATGCGCAGCAGCTCGCGCCATTGTCGGGAGCACACCACCAGCCAGCCGAGTCCGTACAGCACGTACACGGCGCACATGACCGAGTAGAACTGCAGGCGCAGGCCACCGCGGGTCAACGCAGGTCAGGGTGAGCTCAGGGTCAGCTTGGGGTTAGTGTAAGGTCAGCCTAGGGTCAGTGTGAGATCGGTGTAAAGCTAATGTCAGATCAGTGTTAGATCAGTGTGAGACCAATGCAATATTAGTGTATGGTCGGTGCGATATCAGTATAAGGTCAGTATGAGATCAGTATGAAATCAGTGCAAGGTCCGTGGGAGGTCAGTGGATGGTCAATGCGTGACCAGCGTGAGGTCAGCCTCAGGTCGGCGTGAGATCAGCGTAATCAGCATAAAGTCAGCACGGGGTCAGAGTGGGTGCTGTAGGGACATTCGAAGTGTACCCCGCGGCACTTCCCACCTATCCTTGAGCAACCCACGCCAGTAACAATCGGTCCAGCCTGTCCCACCGCGCCAGTGCCCGCCTCTCTTGGCCCGCTACCTCCCCCCCACCGAGCCTCCCTCGGCCCTGCTCGGCCTCACTCCTCCGTGGCCGTCGCAGCCGGTGCCGCCCGCCGTCCACGCGCCGCCTGCCCGCTCCCCCACTGACCGGCAGGTACGGCCAGTCGGCGGCCGACAGGTAGCCGTGGGCGCCACGCATCTCCAGATGCACGGTCACGTTCAGCGGCCGCGGCGACGCCGCCTGGTCGCGGCCGGCCACGTGCACCACCAGCAGGAATATGCCATCGCCAGGGGCGCGGATCTGCCGATGGGGCGCCGTCGCCGCCGCCACCACCTGCTCCGCCCGCTGACGGCGAGAGGGGCCCGTCAGGAGGGGGGGACGGCGCGGTCGGCGGTGCAGCCGGACGGATCTGCCGATGGGGCGCCGTCGCCGCCGCCACCACCTGCTCCGCCCGCTGACGGCGAGAGGGGCCCGTCAGGAGAGGGGACGGCGGGGCCGGCGGTGCAGCCGGGCGGATCTGCCGATGGGGCGCCGTCGCCGCCGCCACCACCTGCTCCGCCGTTTGACGACGAGAGAAGCCCGTCAGGAGAGGGGCCGGCGGGGCCGGCGGTGCAGCCGGACGGCAGGGAGGTGAAGACGGCATGGGGGCAGCAGAGAGGAGGCGCAGCAGGAAACAGGGAGTAAAGGGGTCGGGGTGGGGGGTACCAGAGTGGAGCAGCAGGGGACAACGGCACAAGGTCAGTACAGGCAGCAGGAACAATGGAAACACCACGCAATAGCACAGGAGTACAGTGAAAAGGCAGCGAGGAGGACAATCTAATGGGACGGTGGGGAGGACAGCAGCGAAGTGGGGAATCGGGGAGGATGGCAGCAGAGCAGCACCCATGAAGGGCGCTGACCGGTTCGCGCAGAGGAGTGTGCAAAGTCCTTGACCCTGCTGCCAGCACAAGGGCAGAGGGAAAATAACAAGGTCAGAGTGTGTGAGAATGAGGAGAAAATAAACGCCCATAGCAGTACAAAACGGCAAGGCCGAGCCCCCACTGACGTCAGGATTGCGGGTGCTTTTCACGTGACACGGGCCCTCCCGACAGAAAGGCATTAGTCATGATACAAATATCACAAACATCTATGCAATATTATCACAAAATATACGCAGAGGTTAACCAAACCGCGTACAATATAGCCAAGTGGCGTTTCTTACGGTTTTTAGCGTCCACTGAGAAGTCCCCCGAAGATCGCGCGCCAGACCGACATACCGACCTGCACATCCCCCTCCCCCTCCCCGCACACACAGCCTGTCAGTCGTATACCATACCAAACCGTGTAGCCCGCTCCCACTGTCCCACCACTCCACACAATAGCCCTCCACATTCCACCGGCACGAGATCGGGTGGCACGGGGGCCGACGCCACGCCAACACGGCAGAATGCGGTCGCGCGCGCGGCCGCGGGCAGCAGCGGCGGCCGGAGCGGGCCGTACGCACGTACCGGACGGCGGACGAGCGGCAGCGGGGTCGGCAGCTCCTCCGGCGACGACTGGACCGCCTGTGGACGCCACGGGCCGTCCGGGTGAGCCGGGGGGAGCACGTGCAGCAGAGGGCGGGGTGGGCACAGCGACAGCAGGCGGATGTCGGGGTGGACAACGGGCCGCTCGTCACAGTGCGTGTTCACAAGGCTGGCTGCGTAATGGAGCTGTAACATGTACTTTTTGATCTGACGAAAATAAATCAAAACGAATGAACAGAAGATGGGAAAAATGTCAATGTGAGATTAATCAACAAATAGAAGCATTAAAAGAGACCAAAAATCGCTGGTCGCAATAATTCTTTTAGTTAACCTTTCATATTGCCCCAATTTTCAACTGCCGGCGGAGCTTGTTGCTTTAGTATAAATCTCAGTTCAAACCAAAATGGAAACTGGCCAAAGGACAACACACCAGCTGTGCTGGCCTAACGCGTGAGGCCGGGTTTCAGAGCCGCCAAATGCCAAGGTCATGTCATCAAGCTGTCGACGAAATACGCACTGCCGGCGCAGGCTCCGGCTCTGCAGGGGCGGACTTCGGCTCCGCAGGAGCGGACTTTCTGCTCCGCAGGGGCGGACGGGCGACTGCTGCTTGGCATCAGTGGTCGGCAGATTGACCTCAGGCTGAAATGAGAGTGCTACTGTTGAGGATGACAGCACAATGGCTGACATGCGGTCCAATACTAGCATTACGTATCAATTGTACATACATTCTGGAAGCTGTCAGCTGTCCATCATCATGTAACAGGCACTTTAAGGTGCATACAAAATTCATTGTCTACTCAGACACCAAGTCACCAGTGGGAGAATGTTCTCCATGTTCAAAAGACACTAGGCACTGATTCTGGCACTTACCAGCACAACCTTGTCACAGGTGAACTGATGCTCAGGCCAGGTGGTGTACCATGTCTCATTGTACAGCAGCTTGTTTGGCATGTAGGCAGGATTCTCATACCAAAATGACAGGTTGCTGTCAGGTGGAGCCTATGGATTGCAGAAAATAACAAACATTAGCCATCATAGCCATTTTACATTCTGGATTGTGCTCAAACCTGCAGTTTCAATGACAACAAGGATATAACTGAGTCCATCACAATGATATTTCTAGCAATACATCAGTGTTATATTCCCATTTGGATAAGCAAGCTTTTAACTAACTTATTCCCGGAAACTTTCAACTTATATGTTAAGAAATGGATGCATCAATACTAACATCATAACAACTAACAGATATGACCAATTCACTGACCTGACTTTCTAAGTAGATATACTCATTCCAGCATGGCGTCTCCCTCAGCATCCAGCCAACCGTCAGGTTCACGTCATGGTTTGCACAGGTCACCCGAATGATGATGTCACTGTCCTTGTATAAGCTCTTGGACACTCCAATGTACTCATTCGGCTGAAATAAAAATAAGAATGTGAACATATCAGCACTAGGAAACATATCCAGATGCAGCACTTTAGGTTGGATCAGACTGCAGGAACTTAAATCAAGCCAGGTAATGTTTTGGTTGGAAGTGGGAGTGGGCATTGGGGTGAGTTCAAATAGGAGTATGACCAAGGTTAAAAGTAGGGGCAGGGCTGGAAGTAGGGCACATGGCTGGAGAACAGAAAGCTAAATGAAGGCTTTGTTACATCATTATGAGGAGTGGGGTTACCAGCAGGAGCATGACAAGTATGAGCAGGGTTAAGAGTAGCAGCTGGGATAGGCATAGGAGCAGGCCTTTGGGCAGTCAAATCCACCATAATATTGTGATATATGCAGTGAAATGGAAATGGCAGAAAGTCAACTGCATCCACTTTACAGCAATTCAGCTTTCTCCTATCATTTAAGTCTAAAAGGATTAAGCACTCAAAACACATACATTGTCTTGACTAGGCACACATAAAGCTACCACAAAATTTCATGATTTTAGTAGCAAACTGTCATATTCACACCAGCAATTTTCCTTTTCAAAGGAATTCTTCAAACAATCATTCTACTCAGTTTTAGTCTCAGCATGGTTCTACTGCATTTGGGAGCATTATAATAATTTCATCACTTATTTGGTACTTTGAGCTAACAGATGCCTTTCAAACCTTAAAGTTTGTTATTAGACTACAGTTCTTGGCTCTTATTTGCAACAGTCAGTTAATACAGGTATTAGTACACATCAGACCCACAACAATGTCATAAGTAGCCTCATCCAACCAGAGAGAAACAAAGTTCATCATCCAGGACCTCACAGTGAAACTCACCTTACTGATTGTAAAGTCCCATTGGCCCTGATCAGGCAGACTCTCTACAAGCGACCACGTGAGCAATATGACAGAGATCAAAGAAATATGCATGGCTGGGGCGATAACAGCTTCTCAGATGAACCTGGAACAGACAGGCCTGATTCCAGTATCTGCACATAACGTTACTGTCCTGCTAAGTTAAAAAACACAGGCTCAAGTACCAAAATTATCGATTCAAGACGGTCATTGTGAACATCATCCCAATTGCATCTTTATGTCCTACATTCCCGCATGCCCAGGGCTAGAAGTCTTCCTTGCACATCCTTCCACGGCTTTCCACCAGGCCCATTGGCATATGTTTTGGTATAGGTATACCACAGCACTTCGATGTATATTGCCGATGAATATATCACACCGCCAATGCACGAATACCCCCTCCCAAATGCCACATAGCGTTACCCCGCGACTGCCACGACGACTTGACCTTTCGAGATGAATGAATGCTGCGGTGAATACGGCGCAGCTGCTCGTGGCGTGCGTCATGCCTAAACCATACTAGCTGTGATGACGTCAAGGATGAGACATCCTTACGCGTACATGACATTTTTATATTTAGAATGCACACGAAAGACTGTATTTGGAAACCATCTTATGCATCGGAATTGCTCATTTTTCTATAGGAGGCGGGTTGTGTCACGCGCTTTACTGGATACTTGTACCGCGGCTGGGGAGAACAAAGAAAGCCCCTGACTGGAACAACGGAACGCCCACATTGACCGTTCCAGGCCGGAACGGATGGGGACCGATGTGGGAGGAAAAAGAGCTGATGCGAGCTGTGAAGGAACGTACGGAACCAAACCAAGTCTGGCTGAATCGGGAAACTGGAAAAGGTAGTTTAAGTTAGAAGCCTCAGACCACATCAGACTGGGCCATACCGCACACGATATGATATCATACTGGCGGATTAATGTTAATGGACCTAATAGCTAGCTTGATTTCGATCTGTTTCACACAGGTTATGACCAGCTGGAGCTTTTGTTGCCTTTAGTTAGTATGCATATAAGTTTGATTTTATTTAGTGCAATCCGGTCTTTCAGGACTCGGGTCCGCTATACGGTCCACTGCAGTCTATTTTAAGCCTAGTGCGACCTGATAATTCGCTCAATTTTCGTTCGATCCAGTTCGATCTGTATCGGTCACAATCCGATACGAGCCAATCAAGTCGAATTCCATTCTAGCCAAGAAGGCAATTTAGACCGGTCCGATACGGAGACCAAACTCTCCCTGACTTTTTTATTTGCAGGTTGACCAGGTATGTCCGTGAAGTATTCTGTTACGGTCCGGTCGCACTTTCCATGTCATTTTCGGCTCTAACTCCATTTGGTCAGTGCTGCAGCCTCCGTTTTACTATCTGGTAAACGTTTCTCCCAGCCTCGGTGCCCATCCGACCACAATAAGTCCGGCAACTTTCTCATTCCTTGGCAATCCGTGACATCCGCTTTACACCTGAGACAACTCATTACTTGAAAATGTAGAAACTTGGAGAAGTGGTACTTTTCCAAGCTGATTGGAACTAAACTAACAGAAAATCGATCGATCTTACTTGATTGGCAGCCCAGTGGCGTCATCACACGATCATTTATAAAGGTGAAGAAACGCGTCATTTAAAGTGACGTCATCATCAGCTGACAGGTTTACGCACGAGTAACGCCCGCGTACTGGAGGTTGACATCATTTCTCAACTGGGAAGGCGCGCGGGGCGGGGGGGCGGGGGCGAGTGGAGGTGACGTTTAATGTATATGGGGGGACCTGCGATGAAACTGGCATCGTTTTTCTAAAAACAAGCGCCACAAAGTTATCGTTACTTACATTTTCCAAGAAAATCGGTCAATTGTCACAGAAGAACATGGTTGCTAATATCTGACTTAAAGTTGCTTGGGAAACATTTACATGAAACTTCATGTCCATCGCTCAAAAACCAATCTCTAGACGCAATGCTTGGCTCATCTTTCTGAGGTATTTCGGCATGCCTTGGACAATATGCTCTTCACCTATGCTGAGCTAGTGTGGAAAGGCAGAAAGACTTGAGGGTGTCTTACTTGAAACTTTTTTAATGCTACAACTACTCTGAAGTTCTAGGATGTGACTATCAGACCTCCTTGGTTTGGGTTTAGGTTTTATCCTCTAATTGTCACCATCTCATGTCCAGAATTTTTAGATAGATCACCCAAAAGAGTTGAGGTATGACATATACCTAAAAAGATCTTGGGATAATGATGCTCCAGGCTATCACCTTGATAGTTCAATGGATATTGGCACTGATGATGTGAATTATGGTTAGTACTATGGAACCAACATGGAGAGTTCCAGGCTTTGAACAACAGCCACATCAATTCATGCACTGGTATTTTTTTGCAGGACAAGACAAGTGACATGCACTAACATGAATCCAGACCAAGAGGAAGAAGATCATCCAGTTTTCAGAAATGATCCACTTGAGTTAAAGCAGACAACTGTATACATGTGTGGCTCTGTCATGTTCAGACGGCTCCACCCACAATGGCCGAGTGATTGCAGTTGACCCTGTGTCAGAGAGGTATGTTGCTTCTTGCCAACCCAATGTGTGACCCTCACTATGCCACTATGCATTAATTTTGACAATTTGTGTACAGTGGAAACAGTTCTGTAGTCCTGTGATGGCTTAGGCCATTGACTGGGATAAATTTTCTGAATTTCACCTTTGTTGTCATTTCTGCTATCCATTCAGGGAAATAGCCCATGCCGTACTTTTTTGGGCTCCAAATCATGTTGGGGATGTGAACAAGTGTGTGATGACATGCCAGGTGTAAATGAGGCAGTGTGCATTGATTGGCATTCCTGAAAACTGCCTTCACTTGTGAAACTGATCGACTTAGTTCTGCATACCACATGTGTTGGTTTTGTACACCACACTGGTCCATCCTGCACACCATGTGGGTTGCAGTGACCGAAAGGCCGCCTCATTGGCCCACGCCAGTGGCCTGTCACACATAGTTGGATGGCCTATGTGAGGCATGGGCTCAAAATTCACCGACCTACGGCCTACCCATAACTTCGTCAGATCTTTGCGCGGGTAGTTTCTATGGCTGGTTGTGGTTAAGTACACGGCCAGTCGGGCTGGAGGGTTGGCGCCAGGTGAGCTGGGGGTGATTGCCGCTATTTACGGCAAATTTTGTGAAATGAAAGTCTCCTGAGCTGTCCACCTCCTGGTCGGCAGGCAGTTTGCCGCAAGTTGAGATTACAACGTGACGACGGAAATCTGCGCTCGCTTTGCATCCCTCTTTCCGATGTGTTCCAGTCGCATTTTAGTGAGCGACGTGCACTCCGCGGCTCCAGTGGTAGAGGTGGTGTTCGGCTACAGCGTGAGCTCCTCTCGCACCACCGACACCCGAGTGCGGCGACCCCACGCGCCAGGCCGTTGACTCACTGCTCCGGCGCCAGAGGGTACGACGCTGGCCGGCGCCAGCGACGCTGTGTCGGCGATTCAGGGGCGACCAGCGCTACTTATTTGGAATGTTCTGTGTGTGGGCATAAGCACTGGGAGAGGTGCGCTGTTCAGATGTGGCTCCGTCATAATGTTGCGGCGCCACGTTGGTCCGCTTGTGACCAGCTGCAAGGCTGAGTTAACCATTTTCGCCGATAGATGGCAGCGCATGTCACGCGCGTGTTGCCGCCGTTCATCCGGAAACGATTACGTGACGGACCACATGTGGTAGGCCCTTTGGCCCACGTGTTTGAGCACCCATTGCTGCAAATGTTGACGGCCTGCTGTCAGTTGGTTGAGGCCGGTGGGTGCGTCCGATGTTTGTCTGTCTGCCTGTCTCAGCGGGTCACTCCGCGCCATCTCGTCACACGTTGGCCCGCCTCCGACAGACGGAGCCCGCCCTCTCGCCGGCCGAGCTGCTGGCCCGACGCGACCACGTGGTCTCCTGGCTGCGGCGCCACCGGCTGCCGGTGGAGGTGGGCGAGGGTCACGTGACCGTGGCTGGGGTCGCCACCGTGCGCGCACCCTACAGTGCCGAACAGTGCGTGTGCGCCAACGAGCTGGTGCTGCAGCGGCTGGA